CCCAATGTTTAAACCAGACCTACGCCCTTGGAACTCGGTGATCTATAATGTATTCTGTTCTTTGTATATGCAAAACAGCACTGCATTGATTTCACCTTGCTCAACCAGTTGAACAACCGGAATGCAGTGCAAGTTTGCTTATATTAAATGTGTCCCCACAGAAATACACTCCTCCCACTATGTCTTCCTGTTTTCTTCTTCTTTCAGACATTCAGTTCTTCAAGTGGCTAAAGACGCAAAACCTAACTCAGGAATGATGAAATACCTTCAAAATGCTAATACCTTTCTTCTTGTGTTGGCTTGCTTTTCACTAACTGGGTATGTATTTACTTTTTTGGTCATTTTGAAGATGGCTTACTGTTATCTTTAATGTGTTTGGATCTAAACTACAATGTATCAGTAGTTAAACTGTTTAGAAGTTGAGGGGTCATTTTCATAAAGTTACAGTATTACAGATACAGTATTACATTTTTAAAAACTTCGTTTAGAAGCATATTTGAAGGAGGGTTTAGTAGTGTTGAGAAGAGAGAGAACTGAAACTGAAAAAAAGAAGTGCTGTTGTGGTGCGTTTGCATGATTCTGAATTCTCATGTGGCCTGATGTCCCCTTATGTGCCACCAGTTGTAAGACCACTGAAGAAATTGTACATTAACCGGTTTCATTTAAATTTAAACCCAATGTCATAATATATTTTAATATTTATCTCAAAGTTTCACCCCTTCAAACTCCCCTTAAACTGTATTTGTAAAACAAGGTGGTGTATCCATCCAAGCTGAAATGACTTTAGACAGTTTAAAGGGAACTAAAAAAAAAAAAAGAATTTCAGCACAAGTCCTTTATAATTTATTATTATAATTGTATAATTTCTGTTGTAGCAGCATACAGTACCAAGTTTACCATAGACTAATTTATAAGCTTTTTAGCAGAAGTAGTTCCATGCCATTAATATGCTGCAATTCTCAACCACCTCTGAACATTCTCCCTCTGTCTGTCAGAAAGGCTTTATTCATCTTACAAATACTACTGGAGCAAAAGTCCACAAACAAAAAATATTGAGATCCACAATGGCTGTGTGAGACTTTGTGTGACACTAGCCCCTAATGAATGAATAATTAAAAGTATAGGATGTCCAGAATAATCAAATATCTAAATTAATACATAATCAATATTTGTGATTAGTTGCTAAATAGAAACACAATCTAAATCAAATGATCACTTGAAATTGGAATAAGATTAAATATGGAGCTAAAATTGAAACTCATCTTAATAAACTATAACTAAACTTAATGGCTATGTTTATGCAACCGGCCAGGACTGACAAGTTTGTGATATTGAGATCCACAATGGCCGTGTGAGACTTTGTGTGACACTAGCCCCTAATGAATGAATAATTAAAAGTATAGGATGTCCAGAATAATCAAATACCTAAATTAATACATAATCAATATTTGTGATTAGTTGCTAAATAGAAACACAATCTAAATCAAATGATCACTTGAAATTGGAATAAGATTAAATATGGAGCTAAAATTGAAACTCATCTTAATAAACTATAACTAAACTTTATAGAAGCCCAAGTAAAGGACCTACACGCATTACATTTACATGTAGGCATTTAGCAGACGCTTTTATCCAAAGTGACTTACAAATGAGGACAATAGAAGCAATCAAAACTAACAAAAGAGCAATAATATGTAAGTGCTGTGATAAGTCTCAGTTAGCCTAATGCAAGTTTTTTTTTTTTTTATATAATAGATAAAAAGAAAACAAGTAAATAGAATATAAAAAGAATAGATAACGTTAGTGAGGGTCTTTTTTTTAAGCTGCAGTCCGTAAGTTTTGCCTCTTTGTCACCACCTCTGTTTGAAAACCTGCAATTGCAGATGTTTGCGAAATTATCTTCCTTGCGTGGGTTGTGCGGTGGCTTGGCTCCGGATGAATCTAATGTTTTGAGGAGTATGTGTGTGTGGCAGTCAGTCACGGCACCGGTGTGGATATTTACTGTACTTCGCAATCACAGATTCTAGTCTACATCTTGGAATATATGACCCAAATAAGAATTTTCACCAGATATTGTCATCTGAACAAGTAAGTAACAAGTCTGCCACGTTAGTTCTGACCAACTGAGGAAAAAAGCATTACAATAAATCGCGCTACCAATGGTGATTTAATCTAACGATCGATTAGCTCATATCACATCAAACCGTGCAAATTATCATTATTGTTATATTTCATTCTCAAATGATTAATGTTAACAACATCAGCATTGGTGACTATGAGTATAGTGTGTATTAGCGTGTAGATTTCAATTGGTGATTTAATCTAACGATCGATTAGCTCATATCACATCAAACCGTGCAAATTATCATTATTGTTATACTTTATTCTCAAATGATTAATGTTAACATCAGCATTATGTGAATATAGTGTGTATTACCGTGTAGATTTCAATTTCTGTACAGTCTAATCTCTAATTGTCATACCATTCAAATTTCATATTAAGAAATTTCTTTAACCCAAAAAGCAATTATTCTCCCTTCGAACTGGTTTTCTTTAAAATACAAATCTTTTGTAATCCCAGGCTATCTGTAATCAGAAGCACATTTAAAACTGGAATATAATTTAATTTCATTCACATGTGTGTCATAAACACATAATCGTTTCTGGATTACAATCCGCCATCAGAATGATACATTTAATTATTGAGTGAGAAAAGGCTATAAACGATCCACCACCTGCAGGATCCTCACATGCGATAACCTAGTAGCCGGGACAACTTCTTTATGTTTACAGAAGTGATGTAATGAGGCAGTGCCATGCTCGAATTTCCCGCGAAAACCTACCCTACCTGAAAACATTATAAACTGACCGTTGTGAATCGGGCTAAAGTAAGGCGAAACTAATTTATTATAAATGTTACTGTTATTACTTATATTACATATTGGGGAATTGGGGAAGTTGTTTTTGTAGTTTCTACATGTTTATTTATTTATTTTAATTACAAATTCCATAGTTTGTTATTATTATTTATTTTAAAAACCACATAACTATGGTAATGAGGACCATGTTTTTTCTTGTTGTGACCAGCATCTTACTAATACTCAGTTAAACTGGATTCTATAGCTGTGTCTCATTTAGAAGGCTGCACCCTCCGGATGTCTAATCCTCTGTAGGATGCATCTACGAAGTGTCCTCAACCTAGAATTAAACGAGACGGCCTTCGTAGGACAGGCGGAAAAGGAAACCGGAAGTATCACGTTGCTATGCCAACACGTTTAGAGCATCGTTGCGCTCTCACACTACTTAAATGAAGGAAAATTATTTCTAAATTTGGAAAGTAATTTGAAAAAAATAAATGCTTTCACTTGTTTTATTTTGTTCAGTGTTTGAGGAGCTGCAGCGTACGTACAGCAGGCATCTATTAGAGAAAAAAAGGAGGAGGATATTAAAAACAAAGTTTATCTGTTTTTACCGAGGCGAATTAAGGTAAATTGTAAACACCACATCTGCGCTTGTGTGTACGTTACATCTGCCGGCGTCGGCATTTTTCAAATTAACAACGGTTGTTCACGGCGACGCAAAGAATTGTGGGTTATCTCTAGCAGCGAAGGATACACCTCATGCATCCTCCGAATTCCTGTGAAAGAAGGTCGCATTCGGAGTGTCCTACTTGCTTTTCTGAAATGAGACAGTCTCGATGACGTATGCAGCCTTCGAATGCGACCTCCGGAGGGCGCAGCCTTCTAAATGAGACACAGCTTATGAACTATAGTACATTTCATTAGGGCACAGGATAATTTAACAGAATAGCTTTAATAGCGTCTTTCTCTTTAAATGTTTAGTTCTAATTAATTTTAATTGAAATAAAATGTTAATTCAATTAGAAACTGATTAAAGATAAATATCAGTGTCTTATATAAATTAGGTGTTAACTAGGCCGATTTACAAATGTTAAATTTCTTAAAGGGATATTCACCCAAAAATCTAAATTGTCATCATTTCCTCACCATCATGTCATTTCTAAATTCAAGAAATTCAAGAAATTGTTGTCCATACAGTAGAAATCAAGGGTAACCAAAGTGGTTTGCTAACAAGTCATAGGTTTGGATTGACATGAGGGTGAGGAAATGATGACAGATTTTAATAGCAGTTAATTATTAAGAATTCAGTAATATCTATCATTATTTGTTTCTGTCCTGTTTTATTTATTCATTTATTTACTCCAATTTAAGGCCCTATAACCCAGCAAAACATTCACAGGGGAACTCGTGGGCCGGATGGGCTGGATTTGTCCAGGGCCAAATTTTAACCCCAGTCCAGCCCTGGCTCCAACCCTAAACAAACATGCCTGAACAAGCTCATCAAGGTCTTCTGGATTAATAAAAAGTTACAGGCAGGTGTGTTTGATCAAGGTTGGAGCTAAACTCTGCAGGAACATGGATCTTGAGGGCCAGAGTTGAGAACCGCTGATGAGGAGTCCAGACTTGTAGTAAAACTGAATTTTATTATTGTTATTTGTTAATACAAAATTGTCGCCATCTGTCTATACTCCTTACTGTTTTTCTGTGTAGGATGGCAAGGATGCTGGAGCCTATACCAGCATTTTGGGCTATAACACAATTGTCTCTCATTTGATTTCCTGAAGAATGATACGATATCTAGGTGGCCCTGCTCAATAATACATTTGCAAACAGTCCCTAAACAGTTTTTTAGTAAACATTTTTACATGCACATCATTTTATGATAAAAGTGTGAGAAAAAAAAACATATGGCAAGAGAAGAATTACAGTAATCACTAGTATTTTACATTTACTAACACACCTTGCCCTTAAGTTCCTTCCCCAAAATAGGTACATGTATTGATCTGATTTAATTTTCAATTAAAAAAATAAAAAACATCTGAGCTAACATTTATCTCTACAGTATAACCTTGTAAGCACAACATTTGCTGATGCTTGCTGTTTCGATCTTTTCAGCAAGGGTGGACTAGCTGAGGCATTTTATTTGTTTATTTTTTTCTGGGATGTTCTGAATCCCAGTGCTCCAAGTTTTTCTTTTCCTGCTGTCTCTTTGATGTCTTCCAGTGTTTTGGCCTTTTCAGGCTCATTAATTTCCTTCAGCTTCTCAATCAGAAAATCAATTTGCTGAAGTGTGAACAGTGAATCAGTGTTGAGTGCAATCATCTGCAGAGTGTCCACACAGTGAAAGGCTTCCATCACAAGCTTTATTTTCTCTTTCTCTAATTCCTGCAGTTCATCTTCCAGCTTCTTGACCAAAGACTCACTGTTCCTGGTTTTACCATCATATTCCTTCTTTAAATCTTCATATGTTCTCTTCTCCTTCTTTGTATTTATTTTATATATTTTTGCTTCTTTGATATGTTTGCTGTAGTGGCATCTATTTGTGCAGACTGTACAGTGATTATTTTTCATCACGCTGCACCATGAGCAATCTTTGACCCACCAGCATCCTGGATAATGACAGTTCTCCTTGCAGACGGTGCAGCACATCGCCACACTGGCTAAAGCAGTATTAATATCAACCCTTTCTTTGCAGGGCACTTCAACTTCATACTCAAAGTTTTTATTTTCTTTGAGATCATTCTTGTTGTTCTCCAGAGCTTCTTGAGTTTGTTTCAGCTCAGTTTGCTTTAGTTCCATCATTTTAACACGTGATTGTAGATTAGAGACATTTGCCACCAACTGCTTTCGTTTTTGTAAAACATCTCGAGTCATCTTTAGGTTTTTCGGTTTAATGTTTTCAAGAAATTTGAAAAACTGTGCCATTCCTCTAAAACTGCGATCCCATGATTGTTCCTGTATCACTTCATATTCTTCATCAGCAGTGTCTGTCTGACAGTTGTTAAACAGGAAAAACACTGGCTGATTCTTGTCATTTACGGCACACTTGATTTCAGCCTCTTTAACAGCCGTCAGGGCATTTTTAGGTGGCATACCATCTGAGTGTGTGAGGAGCAAGACAATATTTTCAACAATATCTCTTCCAAATAAAGACTGAACAGCATCAAATATGTAGATTTGTTTTTCAGAGAGTCGATTCTGTTGTGCCAAAATGACAAGACATGCTGCATCTATTTCATGGATCCCTTCTGCAGATTTACTTAAACTAAACAAACTCTCAGCAATTTTTTTATCAAGATTATCTCCTCGTGTGTCTGCATATCCTGGTGTGTCGATGATTGTTAAATCGATTGGACTCTCCTGCAGATAAAACCCATAAACAGTGATTCTGGAGGTCTGACTGTGAACTGAAGACTGATGGTCGCTCTGATCATCTGTGATCTCAAACCAAACTTTGTCTTCTCTCTGAACACCCAACATGTAGTTGATCATCGTATTGATAAGGGTTGTTTTTCCTGTTCCTGTTTCTCCCACCATCAGAATGGTTTTATGAGGTTTGTTTTTATCTCTATCCCCAAATGTAATGTTTCTATATTGTTCAGATTGATCCAAATTGTCTGTCTTTTTTTTAAGACAGTATCGAGCAGGATTTCCTTTTTCAATTTCGATGCATTTCTTGATGAATTCAACAATTTTTGACCTGGTCATTTTTTGTTTTTCTCTGTAATGTTAAATCATAAAAATTATTATTTTGCATGTGTATGATGTTTTGTTTTATTATCGCAGTAAACAAGTACATTTCATATGGAACATTAAAACAAAGACTACAAACGTCCAGTGTTAATGTAGCTTGTTTGTTGGTCAAACTGCTTTATAATTCACATTACATTTGTATATAACCATTACTCAGTGCAAAGCATTTACCAATTGATTAAATGGCATTTTGTCACCTTCTTTTTTCTACATTGGTTCTTTTACATTTTTACAATGACATATAAGGGACAGTACGATCCATGGTCTTACAAAGAAGGAAGACTCAGCACAATTCTTTGAATTTCACACACACATTTTAAGTTGAACAAAAGAGTGACAAATATCCAAAAAGATAGTAGCTATTTGTATTTGTGCTTCTGTGTTGGTATGTTGGCATCATTCTGCCAGTGCGTAGCCAAAATGCTAGCTTGTGCACAAATTAGATTGTTTTTAGTAAGGTAGTTCAGACATTTGTCTGAATAGTTGATGCTACTAATCTGATCCACTTACTAACAACACTTCACATCTGTATAAATGCATCATTCCATTAGGTCTAATACCTGTGAATAGTGTCAACAGACATTTTCATTGTCATCCATCATCTTTTGCACTTTTATTTCTGCTGTTGATGCCAGGGACGTTTGTAGGCAGTGGGTTTTAAATGTGGTAAGTAACCAAATCAAGACAGATATACTAAAATGAAAGTGGATAGTGATGTAATCTTACCCTTCAGAAAACAGTTGAGAATCTGTTCAGAAAGGGGAGGTGTTCTTGCTAATCCAGTAAACTGATGACAATTAAAGAAATTATGTATTTAAAGATAAATTCATGTCAACAGAAGTACATGTTGAAAATTAATCTTGCAGTACAGTATAAATAATTATATATACATATTTGAGATATCACAAATCATGATTGTATTTCTGCATTTATTAACATCTATGTGGAGAAATTACTTTCATACTGTTGTATACTTCTTGTGTATTCAATTATGTCTTTAAGCATTAAGCCACATATTGTGAAGAATGTCTTGCCAGTCATCAGACAGAACTGAGTTGAAGATTAGAATTCAGTAAAATGGATCTACTTACAATCTGTTCAGTCTTAAATTGGTCCTTTCAGCTCCAGCAGACAAGGTGAACCTGCAAGAACCTAGACCAGAAAGCCTGTTTATACTGAAGGCAACAACCACTTTCTGAAGGTCATGTGATTTATGGGAAAATGTATTGTTACAGAATGGTTAATGTAGACTGACAATACTAAACAAACACTCTGAAGAGAATGTTCAACGACTTTAATGACATTAGTCCCTTCTTATTTATGGTCAATGTTTGGTTGTCGTATGTCATCTGTATAATGATTGTGTTTTGCTTCTCTGTCTTGGGTCTTCCTGAAGATAGGCTATTATTAAAGCCTGTTTTGAAACTTTACCTTCTCCTTCGTCTTAGCAATCATTGTGTGACACATGTGAATTTACATTTAATTATGAAGTGATTTATATTGCTTCAGAATGCTTCAAAACAGCTTTACATTATTAAACATTATTAAACATCAGTGTCATAGGATTTAGTAATTGTTATGATAATTTAAATCTAAAACTTTGTATATTAACCAATTGCGAGAAATCAGAAGACTCCAAGTCATTAAACAACCTCTTCAGATTCAGATTGTCAGCCTACATGAAAAATTTTGTAAAAAAAAAAAAACCTTTTCCCATAAATCACATGACCTTCAGAAAGTGGGTGTTGCCTTCAATATAAATAGGCTGTCTGTTCTAGTTGTTTGCAGGTCCTCTTTGTCAGCTGAAGAAGGATGGATGATTTTAACACTGAAAATATTGTAAGTAGATATGAATTTTACTGAATTAAAATTTTTAAATTCAATTGTGTCTGATGACTGTCAAGACATTCTTCAAAGTATGTGACAATTATTACCTAATTAAAGACATACAACTCTATACACAAAAAAATGTATAATAGTGTAGATGTAGCTACATTGTATGCAAGTAGCCTAAATTTGTATAGTTCTCCATATAGATTAAATGCAGAAATACAATGATATAGGGATGCTCAATTATGGCAAAAATCATAGTTGTGATTAGCCAAAAGTCCAAAAGTATTTGTCTTTTTTTCTTCATAGCAATCTCTGTGGTCTTCTAACCCAGTGGTTCCCAACCTAGGGGTCGCTAAAGATTTACAAGGGGTCCCCAAGCTCACTCTAGTTTGGGGTAGGGGTGCAACGGATCGTAGATGATCCGTGATCAGTACGGACCAGTCCTCACGGTTCGGCACGCATGTGATTCGCGGATTAACTGTTAAATTGAACATCATAGAGTGAAAGTTATCATTTGCACGTGTTTTGTCTTGCCAGTTTACACATTCAAGCAATTTCAGACCATTCAGATGAAGGAGAAGTCGAATCGGGACTCGAGAGAGAGAGACGCTATGTTATGTGAAAATACCCGTTTTGGCCTCCGTGTAGGCTACTTGGCGGCCAACGGATTTTCCTTTTGAAATTAGAAAACCAAAATCGGGAATCGAGCGTTCACTCGTTTTTTTTTTTTTATTTAATATTGAAAATAGAAAAATTAGAAAACAGCTCCTTTTTCGTTTTTAAATTTTTTTTTCTCCAAGAAATTAAAAACTAGAATTCAGCTTAATTTTTCGTTTTTCGTTCAGGGGTAGAAAAATAAATAAACAGTTTGAATATTCGATTTCTACACGTGGGCGGGTATTAAACGCCCTTTCTGCTGATTGGTCAGCGTCGTCAGCCGAATATCTTCTGCAGTTCCGCAAGGCAGAAATCATCCGTTGCTGCTGGTGTACGGGTTCTTGATGTGTTTATTGCAACTATATTTAATCTTTTTCTCATCAAATAAAAATGAATTGCTCGATACAATCCGTTGCGGGTTAGAGTAGACAGCGCTTTCTTCTGTGTACAAAAAGGAAAGAATAATGCATTGACTTATATAACAGGCCTATTATTCAAGAACTGTCATTCTGACTATCTTACAATCGGAGAAAAACAGAGATAAAATACATACTCTTTTGAGTTTTATGTCTGTTTTTTTAGATATATTATTATAACTGAGACCTCAAAAGTATATGCGCGTGTGCCGGTGTTATGGATCAACTGGGGATCGTGTTAACTGGGGATGTGCACGTGCATGTGAGCTATTTACGTCCCATTCCAGCAGATTCGTCAAAAGTGACTGCAAAGCTGCAATGAAAAAACGTTGGTACATTCTTAATGTTCTTAATAAATGTTGATGCAATTATTACGCTGTATTGTTTCCTCAATACCTGTTTTAATGCATGCGACACAGTTTAGTGTCATGTTAACATGATTTCTCGTGGTGACATGGTTCACTAACCACGCCCACGTTATCTTGGCACATCCACTATATGGAAAATGACAATCACTCAAATAAACGTATATTTCAAGTGTAATTCACTTCTATATACACTGAGTGAAAATAGTGTTAATTAGCAGTCTGTTATTTACGCTAAGTGCAAATAGCCATAGATTTTATTTACACTATATTAAAATAGCAGTATGCATCATGTAGATAGATGCTATTTATACTTAGCGGAAATAATGGCAGATACTCTATGTAAAAAAAAAAGTGTGCAATAGTTCAAATGAAAATATTTATTAAAGTTATCAAATGGAAGTAGCCTACATAAAGTAAGCTTTTAGCAATAAATGAAAAGCAAACTTTTTTTTTGCTGATCCGAAAAATGATCCGATCCCTGACTCAAAATCCGTAGTATTGACCGTGAGTTTTGTGATCCGTTGCACCACTAGTTTGGGGGTTACAAATAGGGATGAAACGGTTACAGTTTGACCATAAACCAAAATGAAATTTTACTATTTTGTATTATCATTAAAACCATATTTGTTTACCGGGATAAGCAAAGTTATTAACAATCTCACACAGTCACAGCATGCAGCGTAGGTTTCCTTTTGTTTGAAAATATGGCAGAAGGCAGTGAAAGGTTTTAGAGGGAAATTGTATTAATTAAAATATGAATGAATTAGTTAGAATCTATCTCTGAAGGGAACCGACTGTCTTCAGAAAAATTTCCATGGTATTTTCTTTTCATCTTATGTTCGTATACTGCCTGATAAAACAGTTTATTAGAACAGCTGCTTTGTTTACAGCGGTTACCGGTGAAAAGCACCACCTGCTGTCAGGATTTACATTTTCATTCAGTCAAGGCAGTGAAAGGTTTTAGAGGGAAATTATATTAATTAAAATATGAATGAATTAGTTAGAATCTATCTCTGAAGGGAACCGACTGTCTTCAGAAAAATTTGCATGGTATTTTCTTTTCATCTTATGTTCGTATACTGCCTGATAAAACAGTTTATTAGAACAGCTGCTTTGTTTACAGCGGTTACCGGTGAAAAGCACCACCTGCTGTCAGGATTTACATTTTCATTCAGTCTGTCTCCCGTTGTTGTTCAAACCAATGCAAAAATCAGACTGAATTTGTATGCACAGTTGTAAATTTTAACCGGTTGATGGAAAATAACCTAATGTGCATTCTAAAAAATCTGAAAAAATAGGCCTACATATAATCATTCATCATTTTCATTCATCTCTTTTCTAAAAAATGGTTTTAAGTCTGAAATATGGTTTATCTTTTTAAATTTATTTATTTTTTTTGTCAAAACCAGCCATCATTGTTAATGTCATTATAATTTATTATTATTCTGCTGTTGTTGTGTATATATATATATATATATATATATATAAATGGGGGTCGTTGAAAAAGTTTAAAGGGGTCATATGATGCGATTTCAATTTTTCCTTCCTCTTTGGAGTGTTACAAGCTCTTGGTGCATAAAGAAGATCTGTAAAGTCTCAAAT